GTGGCTAAACTCAATTTAAATCTTAAAATGTCTTGATTTGGCTGCTTTTGTAAAAGATTACGAGTTGTCGAGTTCAGACACTAGTTGTTTAACGGATATTTGGTCCACATTTGTTGAGTTACCTACACCGGTTGACGATGCCACTTCGTTTCCAATGGGATTTGGTTCGTTCTCTCGTCGATTTATTTATTTGTCTACTGTAATTTTTTAGTGTATTGATCTATTATTATTTAGAAGATGTTGAGAAAAGCATACTCCTGGCGGTATGGATTCGCGTCGATACAATACCGATTCGATCAGTTTTATCCTGTCCTGGTTTCATTTCATTTTGTTAAAATTGCTCGTGAGTCTAATGAGTGTCGATATAATCCCAACTCAGGTACAAACAAGTTTATTTTTAGCAATGGAGGTGGTTACTTCGTTACGGTAAATTACGCCTGCTTCGATTGGCGGCCTGCTTAACCAGTAGACCGGAAGAACCTCTTTCTCTATCCCATCATTATGTCCCCAAATGCCCTGGTACGGTCGAGGGTGGAGAAAGCTCTCCTTCACCAAATGCTCTCGCATGGCCATGCGTATACAGCCACTGCCAGGGAAGTCCTATTCACTGACTTCTCGCGGCGGGGGTGTTGTTTACGAAATTGAGAGAACGAAAAGCAAATGTCTGGCGCTTTAACCGGGTTGGTGGATATAGAGGATCCACCTAGGGGAGTTAGAGAACCCTGACTCCAAACCAGTTGTGCACGTGGGCTCCGGGATCCTAAGGGAACAAATGGCGTATGAACCAATTATTGATCACTGGCTACCATGGGACTGCATCTCCTGACATTACTCCACTGCCTTGTGAATCAGACCTTCAAGTCGAAGGCTCTAGGTGTTGCCCCCTAAGGAAACCATTTGTCTCGGTCTGGGCACCCGAGCATTATCATATCCCGTACACACATCAATTGACTTGTGTGGCGCACATGTATTCAGTGCCCCTTTATACCAATATTCATGTGTTCATATAAATAAGTAAATACATTTTTGACAACGATCCATTATTATCTTTTTGGTTCAGTTGTGTCCAGTCAGTTCTGCTTTACACTGATCGTTAACATAATTTATTTTCCTGTAGATGTTGGCAATATAATTATGACTATGTTTGTTCAGGCATTTTTCTGTTAAACAGGCGACATCAATCTCTCAGCATTTGTCAAGCACATGCAGGTGGGTTCGTGGTTATTGGAATTTTCATTTTATGGTTTACAGTACGAATTAGCATGGTGTATACACATGTATAACAATGATTTATTGATAATGCTGACTTTTTATGGGCGTCGACATCGAATTAATGGTTTTCCAGCCGTTTTTCTGAACTGCTACTTGTACACGAGTAATATTTTCTGTTTAATTTAAAACTCTTTAGGGATTACATTATATGTTTTCATTATGACTACTGCGATTGCGGTGATACATATGATGTTAGACCTAAAAGTATTTAGAAAAACAATTTCCATCACGTTTATTAACTTGTTGATTATCATGTGTAATGATATTGAAAAGGGGGTCAAAATAAGCAACTACTAAGATTTACTGGAGTAACTGCAAGACAACTGTGTTTTCATAAGGATTGAGTTTGTTGACAAAACGTAATTCATGGACAAAAATAGGCATAAATCATGTGGACATTACGGGAAGGTTTCGTGTAGGAACTTAGAGGTGATTACCGAGATTTAATAAAATTTTCTAATTGAGATTAGTGTTTATTTCTTGCAAAAACTCAAACCTGAATGAATTTTGGATTTCTTGTTATACTTAACACAATGTTCTCAATGGGACTATGCAGAAATAAACTCCATAGCACGTCAATTTTTTCCCAGAGTTAGGGTCTGGGACGATTACTATGAATTTTCTGCTGATTCCGGTGGTTCTCACCCAATCTTATGTTCTAATTTTATTAAGTGTAACTGTAGATTTCTTTTGTTTCTGGGTCGCCGAATCATAGTCTAATCCCATACTCGTTCTTATACTCTAGAATCAGTGTTTACTAATGATGAAGAAATATATGCAACTTATAAATGCACTGTGCGCGAAATATGTGGCAAGTCTAAAGTGATTGTGCTTTTTAGTAGTAGGAAAGTTAAATATGGGAATTGCTTAGTCAAATTCATTCATATTCCGGAAAACGTTAGTATGTCTCTGGTGAATTTAATTGCTTATTGGGTGTAAGTTGATGGATGGAACTTAGTGACTATTCAACTTTTAATTTCCTTCGTGCTAATGATTTTTTGAATGAAACCAGAGCGTACATTGATGCTGATTAGTGTGGGTTCATCATATTTCGTTGTTCCTCATCAGCTACTCACAACGATATATATGTTGAAATTTAACACTGAGGTTATTCTGCATCAATGTTTATTCTGGCTTTATTTAAATTTATGAAGGGAACCAATTGTGCGTAGTGATTTCTCCTCTGGGCTGAGTGTAAACTGCTTGTAATCTTATGGGATTATGTTTAGTAAATGTTGTTCTATTTTTGGTCTTGGGTCGTGTATTCGCTATGATGTGATCCAGTTTGCATAATTCATATCGGTCGACTATCTAACCTAGTAGTAGTATGGACCTCAATCCCGGTCATATTATAGTATTGTAGTAGTATATCATGTCAACCGGCAAGTAGTTCTACTCGCCATATTGCATATTTTGAGTGACAAACCTGAATTTTTTTACCAGTTCTTTGGAAGACAGTTGAGGTTATCACTTGTTTCATTAAATTCTGACCTAATGTTTGTTCTTCCAGTGAAACAATTCTTATAGGATTCAATCCACTTCCTCTCATACTGCTCTACAGTTCGCAATTGATTTACTTTACGGGTGTGAACCATGGCCTTTGGATATAAATAATATTGTATCTCACTAGTATTTGATCATAGATCTCATATGTTTTGAGACTACCAAGTGAACAGTACTAAAGTTGGACTAAGGGTACTAGGTAAGGATGGCAAATCGATCGATAAGGTAATAATTCCCTACAAATTACGGTATTTAAGTCGTGTCCAAGTACTGCCATTCTCCATCCGTTATGATGGCTGGTATAAATTAGTTGGAAAAAAGTCAGAGACGGCTAGACCAAATTATCTCATCATTCTGTAAAGTCGTTGACTCTTGTACTAAGTTGTACAGGTGGATGCATCGAACTACTTAGTTCGAGTTTGTGCAGTCGTTGTAGCCAATGGTTGGCAACTTTGAATCGTTCACAAGGCACAGGTGCATTTACTTTTCGTTTTTCCATTCTGTTTCCTAATTATTCCAAAAATAATTTTTACGAATAAAACTTCAATCATATCTTTTGTCCCATCTTTTCTGCTATCTAACTCGTGTGCGTTCTAATAGTTTAGTACCGATTCGTAACCTAAAATATCCCATCCAGACATCGCTTAGGCTGCATGATGATTCACTGGGACGAATAATTAAATTAAATACACATTCTGCTGTTGAACTTAAATACAGTCTAGTAGAAGCACCTATATCCATATGTTTATCATGTAACAATAGTTTTATTCGATTTTGTTGTCACGGGTTTTTTACTGAAGGTATTTGAACAGATTCAAAAGTTCGTACTGTCTACAGTTCCCTGTTCGTCTACACCATTTAATTTAAACTTGTTATGTGTAACTGATAATGTAGAAATGATAAAAGATATGGTAGATGCTGTGCCATATGGCATAATTTCTAATAGACAACCCTAATTTCACTCGTGATATACAAAAAAAAATTATATCCACTTTACGCACAGGCTTATTTTAATATATGCATGTAGCAGCTAATTTTCGGGGCACAGATCAACTGAAACGAAGTGATTGAGATATAAATGGAAATAATTAATAGACCTAAACAAACGTACTAGTGTTCGTTGCGGATATTTGTTAAACAAAACAAAATACATAGGAAGTATGAATTTCGTAAGCAAGAGATGTGTTTATTGACTCAACTATACAGCAACAAAAGTGACGATAATGAGCCTGATTCCAATGACCATCACAATTTTTACTACTGCCCGGCGGTCGTATGGTAACTTTATTCTGTTTCATATGTCAGAACTTTCTCTTCCCTTTCTGTTGAAGACGGCGAGATTAGGGAAGAGATATTGTTTATGAGCATTTGATTACATCCGTGAATTTATCCTTTACATATCAAGAGCTGTTGAACGAAAACTATGTTCTTGGATGCTAAAAGCTTTGGCAGCGAATTGAAAGGTAATTCACCGTTTGAATATATCTAGACCCTACATTTCTAGGCTCAACATTTCGGTGTTATAATAAAAGTTACGGTTTCACCTTATCAAATACATTCGGACATGAAGCTAACAGTTATTATTAGATGGTTTGTCATTCTGCAAATAAAACATTCAAAGACTGTTCTCACGAACAGGGTTTGCATTTCTAAAAATGGCAATATTTTTCTTCACTCGACTGTACTGTTCAGTATTATTGGTAGAAATCACTGCAGAGATGCGACTCAAAACCCTTTCAAAATGTTTATATCCCTAATATGTTTTTTAGTATGCTCGTTGCGCCACGGTCTTTCAATAAAAATCCTCTTGTAGGCATTTGTGTTTAGCCAAAACCTGTGCTGTGATTCCACTCACTTAATTCTTAAACTTGTGTAAATCTCTCAAACATTTTAACGGCTTGTGGGTAACCCATGCTTATATTTCGTGGATTCAAGCCATTCCCATTTTATCACTTTTACGTTTTTAGGACACTTCCAACGTGCTCATATACAAAAAACATCATTATAGCATCCGTTATTGAAGGTTATCACACCCACTGGTATTAGCTGTGCATTATTACATTGGTTCTCCATCCGGTCACTACGTTTTGTTACTCTGACAAGAATCCAAAAAATAAAGTGAATTAAAGATATCCTGCTATAATTGTTTTCTTGCGTACCGTCCAAGTGCACAAAACAACTGAATAGTACGGCATTGCAAATAACCAACCCTATATACGGCTTAAGTTGGCTTGGTAGTCAAGGCTTTCAACCACTAATTAACAGGTTCAATGAGCGCTCCACCTACACTGGTTGGACAGATTGGGTAATGTCCTCAGCCATCTATGGTATTTCATATGGACATAATTGTATGTCCATTTTGAAATACAACATCTAACTGAGCATGTAATCGTTTAATGGATTAATTCAATCATATTGGTTAACTTGTGCTCAGTTGTGTGATTAACGCAAGTACCTTTTATGTGAATCTTTCCATCACTTTTTTTGTCTGGTTACCTGTCTATCAATTTATTAGTTAGTCATATAACATTCACGTGTTGATGTGTAACTAATTGAGACGTGCTGGATAAATGATACTCTGGACAGTTTTTATTCATTTCGATTAAACCGGACAAATGCAGTCTTAGATTTTTTTAATTTAGTACAATTGCTGGATTTTCTATTGCTAGTGTTATTTGCATTCTAATACAAGTCCTGGTGATTCTAAGAGCCAGTGTCATTATCAATTCAATTACAAGAAGGTGTTAATGCAATTCTACTTTTAACCTGGCTCGGTTGTATCCATTAAATCCAATCGAACGTTGATCGTTTATCACTACTATAAATGATAATTTATGCAATCACGTGAATATACATTCAGGAATACTTTTATTCTAACCTTTACTTAATTCATCTGCCTTCGGTTGTCGATCACAAAGATACAGAATATGACACCATATCTAAGTATCTGGACAATTCGTCTGTTTCAATTTAGCACTGACATCATAGTTATGGCATTCGAAACGACTTTGCTAAAACAATTGAGTAAGATAAAAGTTGTCGCACGTCCTAATAAATAAACGAAAGATAATGAACTCCCAAAACTACCAACATGGCTAAGTGTATATTTTATCATACTATAGAGTACAAAAGTAAAGTATTAAGCAAGTTGTTTCGAATAGCACTTACAAATATCCAATTACCGCTCTCTCAGCCCCCAAATGCCCTGGTACGGCCGAGAGTGGGGAGAGTCCGCTCTCCCTCTCGAAATGCTCTCACATGGCCACGCGTACATAGCCCCTGCCAGGGAAGTCCTACTCACTGCCTTCACGTGGCGGGGGTGTTGTTTACGAAAATGAGAGGACGAAAAGCGAATGTCCGGCGCTTTAACCGCATCCCAAACCAATGGTCACATGGGCTGGCTCCAGTATCCTGAAGGAACAAATGGCGTATGAACCAATCGTTGGTCACCGGCTACCATGGGACTGCATCTCCTCACGATGCTCCACTGCCTTGTGGATCAGACGTTCAGGTCAAAGGCTCGGGGTGTGGCCCCCTATGAAAACCACCTGCTTCGGTTTGGGCATTCGAGCAGTATCACAGCCCTCACACAAATCAATTGAGATTCGTGTGGCACATATGTACTTGGTGCCTCCTTGTACCAATACCTATGTGTTAAATAAAATAAATACCGCTCTCTCTGTATGGTTCATGTTTCTGTTTAGAAACCACAAATGTGATAACAAAAAACTTGACATAAGTACTGCAAAAGTTGTGAGGTAAATATTCATCATTATTCTTACTATCGGACAGTTGATGACTATAACAGGGATCTCTGTATATTTTGTTTGATATAAGAATAAATTTCCAGTACGGTACAACCAAGGGATTTTGATCAATAAGTATTTCTTGTAAAGTAGCGTACTATATCTCACTGCAGAATTCTATGGAGAATAAAAAGGATCTAGCAAACTTGTATTAATGCTACAATGTATGTATGAAATGGACATCCCATATCTTGTACCGCATATAATTCTGCTTACTAACTGTACCTATAGTTCTTTTAGTACTTGCCTATGTATCTATTGAAAGAGAATATCAGATGGTGGGTTTTTGTGGTACGTGGTGACATCATTGTTGATCGTCATTGCAAGTATACTTAATGATATAAAGAGTAGGCTAGAATACGACAGTTTACCGGTCAATAAATATCATCTAGTAAAGCCAGATCTTTTAAATGAAATTATTGTGAAAGTTAAACTTTTCGATGGAGAATTTTCGGGGAATTAATATCCTCGGAAAAAATCCATATAAAATGGATTTTGAAGACGAAAACTGACCGATTAAGTATAATTCCAGCAGTAAGAAACAACTTGACACAGTGTGCAACACTTTTGGGTGTCTACTTATTTTTATTTTGCTGTCTTAATTTTAGCATATCAGAACTAATGGGTTACATTGGGTTTTCAAAACTTTATTCGGAATGCTGAGGTGCGGACAATTCCGGGACATGGAGAATAAATCATTCAGATCTTAGCTTACAGCAGCTCCCATATATCTCATTGTGATTAACTTTCGGTTGATCTACACATGCTTATAGGACTGGCTGTTGTGCAAGTTAATCATGTTCTCTTTGAGAATAACTCTACATATCCCAGTGTGTATACCTCGTGACTCTCAACGTATAGTATGTTTATGGCTTCCGAAACACCTACTAACTTTACTAGCCGAATACTTTTCATTTATAGGCATCTCCCAAAACACAACTTGCTTTCTTAGTAGATACTAATATGATATAACGCGTTAAGTGATTAATCATCATTTCCAGGTTGATAGATAGTCTATGTGGAAAGCTGCAATCTGTGAATTCAATCTGATACAACAGTGCAATGTATACCGATTACAGCACAATGTTCATCAGACTACTTGACGCAGATATTGTGCAGCAAATGTTGTCGAGTTATGCACTACTGAAAAAACCCGAAATGCTTGGTTTCGGATCTCATCTTTGTTTACTTTCATACACATCGCTCCTTTTACAATCTTAAGAAGAGCAAGAACGAAGATTGGTGCAGTTGTTTACGTTATCGAGATTTTAGCTACAATGAAATTATGATTGTCAGCGATATTTCTATAGTGGACTTGTTCTTACACCCATATTTCCTGTACCAATAAATAACATGTTGCCTCTGTGGACACGTTCAACTAGAATAGTTCCCTATTTAACAGTATGAAATAGAACAGCATACTCTCAGTTTAAATAGTCACTCATGACTAATTACGTTACATATGGGCAATGAAATTATTACTCCGGAATAATTACTCTTTGTCAACTAGTTAGCAAAGAGAAGAATTTCGACAAACACGATACCTACTAATTAAATAGACTTAGGAACGGTAGGACACATATACGCGACTGAGGAATCTTAATTGAACGAGGATTTAATAAAATACTTAACATCCAACTAAAGTGAATCGACCTGAATTACGTTTGTGGGTAGTCACATCATCTCATAGGGTAGTGTTAAAATACAGTATCCGCTTAAAACATACCAGTTGAATGCGAATAGAGAGTAACATACGTGATCTGAGATTCCTAACCGCTTTCGGTTAACCTCCAATTGTACATTTCTTGGGCTAATAAGCGAAACTGAGAATCTGCAGATAACAAGCTGGTCGAAAAGTGGTAGTTGAGTCACAACGTCGTACTGAGACCCACCGTTATGAGGCCATGACGATACCCAAGCACTTGACAAGTGCTGTTTACATACATCGAAATACTAAGAAGTCAATATCTGCGGCACCGAAAACAAAACTCAAGTGATATCGACAAGTACATTAAGAACGAAGCTAATTGCGTCTAGCATCATAACATGAAATTAAAGATGCAATCCTCACCAAATTTCGTGATGTGAATATCGAACCGCTTAAAGCACTTAGATAACGTCAAAACTACTGGTTCCAGCATCTACGTCCTGGAAACTGAGATTTTTAGTAGGCTTAACTCGATCGTGATAATCTGTACATCATGATACTTACATTTCCCGCTAACAACCATATCTATATATTAATAACTGTAACCACTTTGCAAGCAGCTGATAAGAACCTGACGAAATGAGTCCCCTCGAAGTATCTTAGTTGGAAACGGTCGGAGTCCAGCGTTATTTAACTTGACGGACATGATGGTAACCTGAGCTTTTGTAGCAAATAAGCTAAGAGCAATTCAGTTAACAGGGATTTATTCAAACTCCATTTAAGCATATACAGATGGCGCTAAAACAAATGCATATGCTGACAAACCAAACAAGCCTCGACGTGAAAACAACTGAGTCGCCAGGCAAGCCAGATATTACATATACGATCTGAAAACATAGAAAGTCAGCAATAGTTAAGCTAAAATCTTCAGATGGCGTTTTTCTTACATATAATGTATTCAATACAGGTCTGTGTAACTCATCACACATAAGAACTCACCCAGTCTCTTGTGCAGAAACACTTCACTGTCGCCAGTCCAGTCAAACGTGATCACCTGAAAACAGAAATTCAGTAATTAAATATCAACTGGAATATTCAGAAAGCTTTTGTTACATGTGGTGTATTCAATACAGGTCTGTAAAATCATCACAAACAATAAAATCTACTTACGTTGTAGATCTTCGGAGCTTAACAACAGTATCGGCCGTGTACAATCACGCGACAACAGTTCATCGTCACCCAGTTATCAAATAGGATGTTATTGGAGATCAAGTCCAACTCATTAGCATAACACATAACAGCAGGATTGGGTATACCCTTCAAGACTGAAAGAAGTGTATTTATAGCCTACAACTACATGAACGCCAGCCACGCAACCCATCATATACCCTCACAGTTGAGACGAACAAAACAAATTCAAGGAAGTACAACTTTCAATTTTATTGGAAAAATTTGTTGTGCTAAGTCATTTTAATTAATTGTATTCATTCAGTTTTAATATGTTCAGCATCGCTATTTCAGTTCTGTGTGTTCAGGATTTGTTTTGGGGGAATATCATATATTCAGGTTTATGACAAATAATTCATTGTTTTTGCTTCCTTCGCTTCTTGATGCTACGGTGCTGTTCCACGTATTTGACGCCATCCAGTGTGAGTAGTTCAACAAGTGAAAACGAATAAATCTCCGAAATGAATTGCTCTATAAGCCCCCGACATTGATCTTGACCTCAATAGTTTTAATGTACTCATCATAGTTGAAGGCACTCATTCACGTATCCACATCAGATCACAAACTGGTACGCAGTGCTATGCATCCCTCACGGTAACTAGCCAGAGTAGATCAAACGTTTCTCAACATATCGATAACCTTCGGAATATATCTTCAGACTCATTCATTCCTGACTCCTGATTTCATCGGGTTTGGGATTTTCGAATTGTGAAGAGGCCACGGTCATAAGCTTTGTCGAGGCTTCAAAATTAAAGTCATCTTTGGCGATGAGCCTTACGTGATGATGTACATCGTGTTTTTACTTACCTTGATATCACATTTATGTTTTCTGATTTTTCGACTACTTACTGATCTTATTATTGTGCGAAAGGATGGTGTTTATTCTGTAAGATAGTGCGAATTGTGAATAGTATCAAACTAGGTGTCTAGGACATATAGTCCAAGTAGGATGTATAGTATAGTCTTTTTTATATTAACAGTAGTGATAAGTCTTGCGATTTTAAACGCTATACTGGTCTTCAGTCATAGAAGACAATTTGAACCTCTCACATTCTCGGTTCACCAGTCCTGCATGCTTCACCCAGTCATCTCCTGGTTCTTTCGTTATCTTCAAGCATTGATAACGGATATTAAACAGAGATGATTGTTCTCCAAAGATTTGAGACAGGGTTTTAACTGTTTCACCAAAACTAAAGTCTCGTGGATTTTTCGGAAGAATGAAGTTGCTATAGCGTCCATGTTCCATAGTCCCAAGTTTTCTCAAAATTACTCTGACTTTAGAAGCGTCATCAAGTTTGCAGAGATCAATATAGAATAAATCTTCATACTTCTTAAACCAAGAATCAAAAGTCACATCTGCTCCACCATCAAAATTAAATTCATGGATGGCATTAATGATTGAATCAGTATGAGATATTTGTGATTCACCAGAAGCGGGGTTTTGTTGGGACAGGCACAATTTCCGTATCAAGGCTTCCATTATTCTGATTCGAAATTTTTCAAACCTTTTTTCTTGACGCACCATATAAGCTTCTAGCTGCTCCAAAGAAATATTCATTGTAGTCATCCACGTCGCCACTAATAAGTCTTGCGATTTTGAACGCTATACTCGATTCCTAAGCTATTCTGAAAACCCCCAAGCGAGAACTATACAGCGAGTTGAACACGAGAGAAAAGGCACAAACTATGCGAAAAGTACTTTACTCCAAGGTTCCTTTTTGTACAGAAAAACATGGGTACTTATGGATGTTAACATTTATTAAATCAACATCATTTTTTGGCCAATCCGCTAAAAGACATATTATGCTGCTGACCAATAGTAGCACGCCACGCTGGCATTCTAGAAAACTCCACCGTGCTCTGATTGGCTAAGACTCTTTGGCTCCTTCAGGGCCTCCGGAGGCTCTGTTGCAGTTCTCGGAAAGCCGACTTAACAAGTAGGATTAAGCATTGTATAAAACGCTTCAGCTACTACCTTTTCTTTGTATTTGTAAAAGCCTTTTTTGGTATTTTGTTGTCTTTGAAGTCAATTTGTTGGTCGTTGGAAACGTTGTGAGCTGCTATTAGCGACTTAACTTGAAGTCTGTCCAGTTCTACGAGATTGTTAGGTGGTTTCTTTATGTGCCTTAGATGTTCTTTGGCTCGAGTCAAGGCTCCGCGAAACGATTTCAATATAGAATGCATCATAATCGAAATATCCTAATTTGTAGACACAGTTGTGTATTGATATAAAGGGGTGTTTTTCTTTTAAACGTATTGAAGTATTTTGAAGTGTGTTCGTTGTTTTGTAATATGCTTTAATTCTGTGTTGTTTTTAAATTCTCTGGAGTTCTTCCGTTGTGCCATGACGGTATGCTAAAACTGCAATGACAATGCATACTGTTTCGTTAAAATTATTATTAAAAATGAAGCGCCTAGTTTTAATATAGATCTAATAATCTCCATAAGAAAATTAATAAGTTGTAAGATGTCAATTACATCATTTTGTTCTTTTTGTTTATCCTCTTTTGATGTGATAATCTTGTTAGCTCTTTTAAAATGACTTAAGACTAGTAAGATCTTTGGACTGAATGAATGTGCTGGATTTAAATTTGAGTGTGCAGGTTTTCGGCAGATGGATAGATTTAGAATTCCATTTAGATTTTTTCTCACTAGGCAACCTAAAAATGATGGCTCTCCATGTTCATTTTCATTCTCGTTCATAAATTTGATGTGCGATGGAAGCGTATTGATCCGTCTTTTTTATAACAAAAAGTGTATCATCTATATATCTAAGCCCAATTCGTGGTCTAATGTCATTGGCGAGCGCTTAACCATTAGACCGAAATAACACCGTTGTGTCCCGGCTTAGTGATCTAATGGTTAAGCGCTCGCGCTCGAGATTGGTAGATTGTGGGTTCGAATCCCACGGGGACAGGATCGTCGATGCGCACTGCTGAGGAGTGCCATACTGGGACGAACCGGCCGTCTAGTGCTTACAGGTTTTCCATGGTGGTCTAGCTTCCATAGACTCATGATTTCAACTATTGAAGAATCTAACATAATTATTTATAAAGTCTGTGTAAGTTCATAGTTGAATACGTACGTTTGTAAGGCTGATTAATGAAGCCCTCACTTTCACAGATCTAGCACAAACGAGCACATCTGCGATCAACATCGACACTACAGGCACTCTTTATGTATAGACCAAACTGACTTATTTTCCTAATTTGTAGTTATATTAGATGCTTTTTTCTCCCTAATTTTTCTACTTGAAGTAGATAGGCAACTCACCAGACCTATCGATACTCGGTCGCTAAGAGACGCTTACTACTATCCTAAAAAGTCAAAAGAACAGAACAGTCGACTGCCTACTAACAATGGTCTTGCAATTATGGAACCTGTTGCCCACCAACCGGTTAGGATAGAACAAAATAACATCAACATCAAGTTATTGTGAGTTCCTTCTTGTCTATTCTGTATCAGCGTTTTACTCTCCAATACACTTTGTTGACTTGCCATTAATATTATTCCACCACTCGTTACCATATCTATAACCCATATATCTCTACACATTTCCGCCTACTTTGGCAAACAACTATCCTACAATAAACCATTCATATAGCCTATGCTTTGCTTGGCAACTTGTACTTCATACTATAGTCAAATAAACCATTGTATCTATGCCTTATCTACAGCCTATAATTTGTAACTGCCTGATAAGCTTGTAAAATGGTACTTAAAGAAATAGTGTTTTCCAACAAGACGCGAAACACAGACCACTGTGTGAGACATGATATTTATCAAAAAAGTAAGCTAAAATGAGCCTGACATCACAAAAGGAGTGAGTGTGGAGTTATTGACCGGCAAGCACAGATGGTGAAGGTGATGACTTCAATCCACCCATGTTTGTGCGGCAGAACGTTTTGTTTGTATCAGGCTCTTTATGTTTGAGAACAAGTCAATCAATCTGTAATATTGAGGTTGTTCTCCAACGCTAGTTATTAGTTTTCTTAGCACTTTACTCTCTATATGCACTTTCTGTTCTAATAAACATCCTTTCTTATGCCGACCCTGACCTCCCTTCCTGCATCTGAACTTACTCCACCTTGGTAAATATCACAGATCGTTGTTCTTTATTGTTCTTTATTACTGCATTCTCTCGTCTGGAGCCTCTGGTCAAATTTTACTCTAGGTACAAGAGCTAGTATGAATTTGATCTAATAATTTACCATATCTTTATCTGTTCCACTACAAAATGTTAATTATTGTTTATCGTTCATATCCAAGTGCCTTGAAGTTCCTTGGTTTCTCTTATTTTAGAATATCACTCCAGAGGCTCAGCTAATGAACATCTGGAACAAACTCGACACACGTGTTTTCCCAAGGTCGTAGTTCACATCAAGCGCTCTACAAGCCTACTTTATGACAACAGTAAAATTAAAAATTTGCATTGCATAGATATTTATCACGACCGAAATCCTAACACAATTATGCCGAGATTAGATCTAGTGTGTAACGTGGACGCAATGCCACTTTGGAGAATATTTTGAAGATGAATGAGCTGACATTCAGTTTTATAGACTATTTTTATTTAACATGCATTGTATGAACCAATAATGATTGTGATTTGTAGATCATGCATGTATAAATGGCATGTACCTGTTCTTGCAGAAATATATTATATTATTAAATGCAACTCAATTTCGTAATCGTGGGAGTCTGATAAGCGACCGATCAGAATGAAGCGGGAAGGTTTGTTTTTAAGAATACACTCTGAAATAATTGACGAGTTGGACTCAATACGTCGTACGTTAAAGCAAGCTGAACATATAAAAGCCGAAAATTTGCTACCACTATGTAGTGTATGTTTGTTGTTTTGGCAATAAGAAGAGGCTAGAGGGCCATGATCAGAGAGTAAAGGGGTAAATGAGTGTTACCTTTCCTACTTTTCATAGATCAAAGTTTACCGGTTACACAGCCACGTTTCGTTTGCAGTATGGTGTCAACCGGTACGTAATATCGTCATGGAAGATGATGCACAACAACTCATGTGATAAAAAGCACTTGGAAAGTGATCCATGGTTCGGAAGATTAAGTCATGATCAGTTAAAAGTTGTTATATCCATGGTCGAAACTGGAAGTAATGCTGATCAGTTAGTTAAGTATGTAGAAGACCATTTTGGAAAGACAATAACCGTGCAATATGTCAGTA